AAAAAAAAAAAAAAAAAAAAAAAAAGCACATAGAGAATTTTCAGTGTGAATATCTAGCCTTTCAAAGAAACTTCTAAAAACAAACATACACTTTTGAGAGTATGGCTGAATCAAAACCATGGCTCCCCAGCATCATAAAGCTACTTGGGCAGGAAAAAGAATTAAAGACCCTGACTGCTTCAGTGCATTGAAAGGAAACGGAGTATTTATTTATAGGTGGTGTTTTTCCCCAAACACAAGTGTGTATCAAAATTCTCTCTCAGGACTTCGCTGGTGGCACAGTGGTTAAGAATCCGTCTGCCAATGCAGGGGACATGGATTTGATCCCTGGTCTGGGACGATCCCACGTGCTATGGGGCAACTAAGCCCGTGCACCACAACTACTGAGCCTGAGCCTCAACTACTGAGGCCCACGCGCTCTGGGGCCCACGTACTGCAACTACTGAAGCCCGTGCACCTAGAGCCTGTGCTCTGCAATAAGAGAAGCCACCGCACCGCAGTGAGGAGTAGCCCCCGCTCGCCGCAACTAGAGAAAGCCCGCGCGCAGCAATGAAGACCCAGGTAACCAAAAAAAAATTCTCTCTCAGGTGTAAACTGTATTATTAATGGCCACAGGGTAATTGATACCTTGGTAATATACTTGGGTTTCCTCCCATGTGCTGCCAATATTCAGAAGAGAAACACACGTTCTTGGAGGAAAGAGAAAAATGAAAAAGTAGGAAAACTGTCTCCATGGAAAAAATTTTAATATAATTTTAAATAGAATCTGGGAGATCGAAATATTAAATACATCCTTCCCAAAGAGTAAATTCTACTGTGTGAAATCCAACCGATTGCTCTTAAGATAAAGAGAGTCCTGGAGATGAAACGAGAAAGAGAGCCTTACAATAGAAACTATTGTCTGTTGAGAGGGTACCACCTACCAGGCAGGGTACTAAGTGCTTAACCCCATTATTTCAATGAATTGTCTCAACACAACCCTAGACTTTATTATACTTTTGAGGACCTGAAGGAAGAGAGGACTTAATTGTACAAGATTACACAGATGTGTGACGTGTATGACTACGTATGTGTGTGACTCTCAGATAGCTGATTCCCAAGTCCACTCTGGTAACTGCTTGGTTCTAACACCACACTTGCTGAGAGCTCCCTATATGCCAGGCAGGGTCCTATGCACTTTATATTATCTCGCTTCATCCTCACAGGTAAAGTGGGCATTATTACCCTGACTTTATAAATGAGGAAACTGAGGCTTAGACAAGTAACATGCCCAAGGAGTTAGGTTTTTGAGCCAGGTCCTTCTGACTTCAAAGCTTGCACTCAAATGCAGAATGAGAATATAAGAAAAAAAGGAGGAAAATTAAGATGGAGAGAGGGAGAGGCCTGAATCAGTCCAAAGTAACTAAGAAATTGCCTGGGAATCAAGATGTTCCTCTGATGAAAGACTGACTTCTAGCTCAGAGCTTCTCAAGATTAGCTGCACAATCAAAATAATCCTGATGCTCAGGCTATCTGCCAGACCAACTAAACCAGAATCTCTAACTGGGGGACCCAGACATCACTCAGTGGCAAAGCTCCTCCAGGTGACTTCAATTTGCACCCACAGGTGAGAACCACTGTGCTAGAACCCTCCTTCAACCGTGTGCCACTGCGATTTTTCTCAGTAAAGTACACTTACAAATAAAAGGATAGTATTATCTCTGATGGCTTCAAAACAGTGAAATAATCTTAGAATATATATTCATATTCTCCTCTCCCTTCCTGTGATTCACTGAGATAGAAAGCAGAAAGTTCTTGAGCTTATGATGATCAATAGCTATTTAATAAATACTAATTGGGGGCTTCCCTGGTGGCGCAGTGGTTGAGAGTCCGCCTGCCGATGCAGGGGACACGGGTTCGTGCCCCGGTCCGGGAAGATCCCACATGCCGCGGAGCGGCTGCGCCCGTGAGCCATGGCCGCTGAGCCTGCGCGTCCGGAGCCTGTGCTCTGCAACGGGAGAGGCCACGACAGTGAGAGGCCCGTGCACCGCAAAATAAATAAATAAATAAATACTAATTGATTTTTTTTTAAAAAAAGCTTAGAAGGTAACTAATAAATTAATTATGTTTAGAAAACAGCAATAATACACAAGTCTAAGGTTCCTGGCAAAAGTCTTTGTCAACTAAACTGGATGATGGTTAATGCAAAATCCTTTGTTTCCCTTGGACTCCTCCAGGTGGGAAGGACAGGAGTAGAGAGCTTTGGAACTTCTTGGAAACAACAGGTGTGTGTGGGACAAGTCCATTCTTTGGTTCCCGCCTGCCCTCTCGCCATTTTTCCTTTTACTTATGAGATCTAGTACTCTCTCCTCTAAGAGATTTCAAGTCAACTTCCACTGATCCTGGTCCAACTGAGCTTAACTATTAATTTATTTTATAATTGACTTTATTTTTTAGAGCAGTTTCAGGTTTACAGAAAAACTGAGCAAAAAACAGAGCTCCTATATACCCTTACTCCCCAACTTCAGTTTCCCCGCCAATATTGATACACTAGGTGTACCTAGTAACACTGGGGCTCACTCCTTGTGTTGTACAGAAAGTTTGTTTGTTTATTTGTTTTTTTGGCCGAGCTTCCTGTCATGTGGGATCCCAGTTCCCCGACCAAGGATCGAACCCGTGCCCCCAGCACTGGAAGCACGGAGTCTCAACCACTGGACTTCCAGGGAAGTCCCAGAAAGTATTAATTTTTAACTGCCCTATAGTGATCATATATTCTGTGAGACTGCATTATATCTTCTTTATAACAAATAATAATCTGCTTAGACACCAAACTAAAGATTTCCCTCCAATTTCTCAGTGTTCCCATGTTAACTTTTCCCTAAGCAGGTAGGGGAAGCTAGAGAGCAAGGTTTAAAAGAAGAAAAACTTTTAAGTTATTATCTCGTCATCGAGATCGTTGCTTTACTGCACTCTAAGAGAAGTTTTAATAGAGTAATACAGGTGGTATGCAGTGGTGCATATGCATACGCTCTATGAAGAAGTCTGAACAAGTAAAAAAGACATCAAGAGAGCAAACAACAGTAGTTTTGGACCTGGCTAGCCTAGGACATAGTCAGGAAGGAGTGTTCTAGCGCAGAAGGAAAAAAGCGACTTTAGTTTAATGGACTCCAGCAGGGTCTCGCTAACCCCTTGAAGGAATGCAGTTATGAGAGAATACCAACAGGGATGACAGGACATAGAATTTTGTCAACATGCTTATTTTCTTGGTAGAAAAGAAGGAAATAAAGTCTATGGAGGGGTCAAAGCCAGCTGTCAATGTCTCTCTGGCATCCCAGCAGCACATCCTTCAATTCTGCCAGGGCTCCATGAATCTACATTTTGTAACAGGGCCCAGAAGATGGTCACTGAGTCACCTTGCGGGCCTGCTGCTGCCCTGGGTGTGTGATACACACAAAGGAAGAGCCATGCTGGTTAATCCAGCAATTCTTGTTCACCCATCAGGCCATTCCCAATTCACGGCCAAGTCCACCCCTGAAATTGGCTAACACTTGCAAATGCTCTTTTATTTCCAGCCAGCTACATATGGCCTATGCGACTGGCCTGACCAAGCCAAAGCAGGGCTATCCCTCAGCCAGTTGGCAGCAGGTATGTCTACAATCTGTGGCAATGAAGACAGCACTTCAATGAAGCAGGCATCTTCCCCAGACAGGACTCCTTGGAGCCAACTGGGAGCTGGGGCCCCAGCACCAGATGCTCTTGAATGCCAACTTTCAGCCTGCGGCCAGGGACCAGCATCCAGGGGTAGTTCATTCAAAGCACTGCTTTTATTCCTGGTTTAGTTACTTTAGCTCTTGCCTATGTATAACAGTCAATGTTTCTCCCTTATGAGGAGGCCACAGAGGTTATCCTTTAAACAACTAGCACATTCAAAACACTGAAAACTAAACACAGAATAAAAACGAGCATTACAATGTAAAAACTAATATTTGTATTGAAGTTAAATGGCAATAACTAAATGGTCATGAGGGACTCTTTCCTTTAGACAGCAACACAGACTGACTTACCCTCCCATCTTGCAGTCCCCGGTTCCACCTTTCCAGGCTCTTACGTACTTCGGATTGGCCCACAGGGACACTGGATTAAAGCTCCCACTTGAAAAATAAGGTCCCACTGGGCTCAAGATTACAAAGAGCAGGGCTTTAGTAGGCTTCTTGACTCCCAGAGAAGGCTGTAATAAAGCAAAAGTACACACAACTGTTAATTTAAAATGCAGACACCAGTCTCAAAGTCTAGAAGAGATCTGTAACCATCTCCCAGAAGGGACTACGGACAGCTGTTACTTCTAAGTGCATTTTTTTTTTTTTTTTTTGCGGTACGCGGGCCTCTCACTGTTGTGGCCTCTCCTATTGTGGAGCACAGGCTCCGGATGCGCAGGCTCAGCGGCCACGGCTCACGGGCCCAGCCGCTCCGCGGCACGTGGGATCCTCCCGGACCGGGGCACGGACCCGTGTCCCCTGCATCGGCAGGCGGACTCTCAACCACTGCGCCACCAGGGAAGCCCTGGACAGCTGTTACTTGTAAAGCTGAGTTACACAAGCCTAATGGTCTTCTCTTTCAAGAAGAAAACACCGAGAATGGGGTACTTTGGTTCCATTTTACTTTGCTTTCTGAGTTAAGATTTTAAAGGAAAAGCAAATTTGTCAACTTTTTTAATAGTAGGCTTTTTCAGGAGTATATTTTTAACAAGTAGCCATATAACACCTTTCAGTGTTGCATTGATTGGGAACTGAAAAAGGGAAGAACCTAGACATGATTTCAGTCTTTGGGGGTGAAACCTAATATTTGCTTCTCTAACTTGCTCTTCTGCTTCTGACTGCTGACTGCTTCAGGACACGCCAGTGCCTCCAGCAGGCAGTGGGCTTGCGGGAGTGTGCCATTAGCACACCTGACTGTGAGAGACAGCAGACAGCAAGAGTGTAGCTGCACTAGAAGCAAAGACACCAGACAAGATAAATCCCCCCCAAAAAGACAAGAGGATGAAGGACTCAGGAATTCGTGTCAGGAATGACAAAGATAGAAAATGGCCTTTGCCACCAATACTGGAAAGTCACAAGCCAACGATGCGAAATCATACAAATTCCTCCAGCACAGAGGCGGTTATAAGTAATCACTGCCAGTTGTTTTTTAAGGAGGAAAACTGAGAGACTGAAAAGCTTTGAGGGCTACGTATTATAAAGGCAAAAAAGGCCACTGGGCTATCCTGTGCAAATCAAGACCACACGAGTAAGAAAACAAGTCAGGACTCTTACATTAAGTATTGGGATATAGAATACTTGTGTCTAGTCTTCAAAAGGAACCTGGTCTGCCTGGAAGGGGTAGTAGTCTGGCGTGGAAATAATGAGAGGAGACGCAGTTCCCCTGATTTTGTGGCTTTTGTCATATTCGATGAAACTGACTGAAAGTGGACCTAGGGGTATATTTTTTTTTCTGAATTTCAATTAAATCTCCTCCTCCACTACCTATTAAATCAAGGCCCCTCACCCACTACTTGTGCCCAGATCATCAAGAATCAGGTAGGGAAAATTTCTGTGAGCAGAATAAAATGTGATTGTATATGCGCGCACTGATGCCATCGGAAAGGCGTAGGAAATGGGAAGCTGAGTCCATTCACACTCCATGTGAATGTGAGGACCATGCAGGGCTTGGCTGGCCCCAGAGCAAACGGATTATAGGTGACGGATAACTGAGGTAAAGAAATGAGTCAGCAAGCGACCACAGGTTTTGGTTTTTTGCTCATTTGTGTCTGTTCTTTAATGGGGGCTAAAGAGGACACCCCTACAAGGGAAGAATGAGGAGACTTAAACTCCATTTGCTTTTTTGGGTTTCGTTATTTGGAAAAGAAATCCTCAGAATAACACACACATCTGCCTTTCTTCCCAACTTTGATAAAAACTGACTCTCATCTCCACACTTTTATTTACCTATCAGTTAAGTACGTACACTTCATATCAGGGATGCTTTGAAGCTTAATATTTAAAAAAAAATTTTTATTGACCATTATAATGAGGAATTAAGCTTCTCAAAATAATTTAGAAATACAATATGCAGGACACATCTCAGTAATTTACCTAGCTTCTAATGTTCTAAATAAAATAGCTTATTTATGGACAAGCTGATAAGCATTTGATTAGATACCACATGAATGCCTGGACTTTTCTCACTCACACATTTTTTGCAACCTACACACTATTAAAAAAAGCAACAGGGACTTCCCTGGTGGTCCAGTGGTTAAGACTCACGCTCCCAATGCAGGGGGCCCGGGTTCGATCCCTGGTCAGGGAACTAGATCCCACATGCCACAACCAAGAGCCTGCGTACCTCAACTAAAAGATCCCGCATGCCGCAACAAAGATACCACACACCACAACTAAGACCCAGCGCAGCCAAATAAATAAGTAAATATTTTTTAAAAAGTGACAATAACTCATGATCATGGAAATATTTTTCAGAGATAAATTTCATCTTATTCATTTCCTTCCCCTGATTTAATTGACAGGCAAACTTGCATTTATTCCACTAGGTGGTAGTAGAGAGAGCACAGATGGAAAACAGAATAACATGCATTAAATCTATTTCTAGAAAAGAGTATCTTGATAAACCTTTAAGCAATACTTTTACTCTTAGCAGGCAGGTAAATAATAGACTAGAGTTCTTCAATGCTGAGAAAAAATGTGTTTATGTGTACTAACATTTTATTTTAAATTTAAGCAAGGTCAACTCATGTTTTACAAGTGTTGATCATAGCTCAGTCACCTTCATCCTTAAATGATTATTTATGTCAAATGTCTTTTCATGAAAAGAACTGTGACTTTACTGAAAATGGTCACACTGCTTCATGAGTGAGAATAAGTAAAATGTAACTTTATGGAAGGGAAACAGGGAAACTTTATGGAGTGTAACTTTAAGGTAGAAACAGACCTAATCACCAAGTTCCCTTTCTTTATCAGGAAGGGAACTTGGTGATTAGGTCTGTTTCTACCCTCAAGGAACCATTATTTGTTCCTTTTTCTTAATTCTCCCTTCTTTCATGGAAAGCAATTTAAATTCTGTACTACTCCTACAATTAAGAGTAGTTTATGATAGTATAATATTAATCAAGTGGGACTTCCCTGGTGGCACAGTGGTTAAGAATCCGCCTGCCAATGCAGAGGACACGGGTTGGAGCCCTGGTGGGGGAAGATCCCACATGCCACAGAGCAACTAAGCCCGTGCTCCACAACTACTGAGCCTGTGCTCTAGAGCTCGCGAGCCACAACTACTGAAGCCCAGGTGCCTAGAGCCCAAGCTCCGCAACAAGGGAAGCCACCGTGACGAGAAGCCTGTGCACCACAATGAAGAGTAGCCCCCGCTCGCCGCAACTAGAGAAAGCCCCCGTACAGGAACAAAGACCCGACACAGCCAAAAATAAATTAATTTAAAAAAATCAAATGGCAATGAACAAAATTCTATGATGACAAGGTCAGGCTTCTGATGAAATAAAACAAAAGCCACATAAATAAAAATACAGATAATAACAGCTGTTAAGTTATGGAGACCAGTTCCAATGTCTTATTTTGATTGATTTTTTAAAATTCTTCTCTACTAGTTTCTTGGATTATTTCAATAAATAAGGAATTGAAAGGGGCTTTTAAGAAACCCCAGGGAGGACATCCCTGGTGGTGCAGTGGTTAAGAATCCGCCTGCCAACACACTGGACACAGGTTCAAGCCCTGGTCCGGGAAGATCCCACATGCCGTGGAGCAACTAAGCCCGCAAGCCACAACTACTGAGCCCGTGTGCTGCATCTAATGTTCTAAATAAAATAGCTTATTTATGGACAAGCTGATAAGCATTTGATTAGATACCACATGAATGCCTGGACTTTTCTCACTCACACATTTTTTGCAACCTACACACTATTAAAAAAAGCAACAGGGACTTCCCTGGTGGTCCAGTGGTTAAGACTCACGCTCCCAATGCAGGGGGCCCGGGTTCGATCCCTGGTCAGGGAACTAGATCCCACATGCCACAACCAAGAGCCTGCGTACCTCAACTAAAAGATCCCGCATGCCGCAACAAAGATACCACACACCACAACTAAGACCCAGCGCAGCCAAATAAATAAGTAAATATTTTTTAAAAAGTGACAATAACTCATGATCATGGAAATATTTTTCAGAGATAAATTTCATCTTATTCATTTCCTTCCCCTGATTTAATTGACAGGCAAACTTGCATTTATTCCACTAGGTGGTAGTAGAGAGAGCACAGATGGAAAACAGAATAACATGCATTAAATCTATTTCTAGAAAAGAGTATCTTGATAAACCTTTAAGCAATACTTTTACTCTTAGCAGGCAGGTAAATAATAGACTAGAGTTCTTCAATGCTGAGAAAAAATGTGTTTATGTGTACTAACATTTTATTTTAAATTTAAGCAAGGTCAACTCATGTTTTACAAGTGTTGATCATAGCTCAGTCACCTTCATCCTTAAATGATTATTTATGTCAAATGTCTTTTCATGAAAAGAACTGTGACTTTACTGAAAATGGTCACACTGCTTCATGAGTGAGAATAAGTAAAATGTAACTTTATGGAAGGGAAACAGGGAAACTTTATGGAGTGTAACTTTAAGGTAGAAACAGACCTAATCACCAAGTTCCCTTCCTGATAAAGAAAGGGAACTTGGTGATTAGGTCTGTTTCTACCCTCAAGGAACCATTATTTGTTCCTTTTTCTTAATTCTCCCTTCTTTCATGGAAAGCAATTTAAATTCTGTACTACTCCTACAATTAAGAGTAGTTTATGATAGTATAATATTAATCAAGTGGGACTTCCCTGGTGGCACAGTGGTTAAGAATCCGCCTGCCAATGCAGAGGACACGGGTTGGAGCCCTGGTGGGGGAAGATCCCACATGCCACAGAGCAACTAAGCCCGTGCTCCACAACTACTGAGCCTGTGCTCTAGAGCTCGCGAGCCACAACTACTGAAGCCCAGGTGCCTAGAGCCCAAGCTCCGCAACAAGGGAAGCCACCGTGACGAGAAGCCTGTGCACCACAATGAAGAGTAGCCCCCGCTCGCCGCAACTAGAGAAAGCCCCCGTACAGGAACAAAGACCCGACACAGCCAAAAATAAATTAATTTAAAAAAATCAAATGGCAATGAACAAAATTCTATGATGACAAGG